CTCCCTCTATATTCCCACTGCATATTCTATTCGAAAACAGTCAAAGCAACAAATAAAACATTAATAAAAGCATGACATGAAATGTAAGGAACAGAGATGTACAACTCCAAAACTAATCTAATTTATGATCCACCACACCTTCTCCAAGATAATCAGCCTTTACTGCATGCTTTACATTTCACTGGTCTTCTGTCTTCCAGACACTCAGCCATGCAACCCACCTCCTCACCCTGGTGTGTGGAATGACCAGGGTGATGAGCTCCAAGCCTCCATCTTCATCGAGACTCTGCAGGGTCCTCTCCTAACTGCTTCGATGGCTGGGATCGTTTCTTCTATAATGGGTCATCTGAGTTAATTGCCAGATGGTTTAATTTATTTCTGTATTTTAATAAATCATGGGCAGTTTTTCCACATGATCTCTCCTTATTTAACTATTATGTAGATAATCTAATTACAAAATATCAAAGAAGGGCAACAAGGTGATAAGAATACAATTTTAACTGCAAGCATGCATTCAGTGACAAAAATGAAGCTCCAAATCACTGATGACAAACAGTTATTAACAAGGAAAACTGCTTAATACCCGAGGGATCACTTTAAAGTAACAGAAACACAAGGACTGTAGACACATGTCAAGGGCAAGATCCTGATCTCTGAGCTGTTCTCCTGAGTGCGAATATTAAATATAAAACACTATAAACACACACAGGGTGCATGAAGTGCTAGCAGTGTCCAAGTGTTGTTGTTGTTGTTTTGTTTTCCCCTTCATACCGCGCCCCCCCTGCAATGACTCTGCGCCCCCTCTAGGGGGCGGGCCCCACACTTTGGGAAGGTCTGAGCTAGGATTAGGTGATGGTGGCATAGCAGCTGCAGACGGTCAAGCAGAAGATGGCAACGTGGCTGCCACAGGCGATGAAACAACAACTATTCACAGTCCCAGGCAATGTGGTCCCCGTAGTGATTCCTCCCCAGAATCCCCACACAGTGCTGAAGGTCCAAAAGGTGAAAAAACAACTCCAAACTCCTCCCTAAATCGAAGTGTACTCCAAATGTGGTGAACAAATGCGCAGCTCCTTTCCCCAAATTTGAAGGCTGGGTCTGGTGTACACTTCGTGGTCCCATATATCCCACAATTCATAGCGCGGCGGTGGGTGTGGATATTTTTGTTGGGAAAAAAACGACGGATGCCTGAAGCAGGGCGGCCGAAGAGTAAACTTTTGAAAGTAAGTACTGAATATGACGTCACTTATTTATGTGCGAATGTTTAATAATGAAGAACATTAAAACATTACTGTTGGCCACATGTC